TAAAAGAATTAAATGGATACTTTAAAAGTTTGTCAGTTTTAATTTCTAATATCAAAAATCTATCTCACACGAAGCAAAGCTCTTCGAGGTCCTCACTCCTTTCCTAAACTAGTTTTTAAGTTGAGATTTAATTCACATACCATAGGATTGATCATTTTAAAGTATATAATTCAGTAGGTTTTAGTACATTTACAAGGTTGGGTAATCATCACCAGCTGCTAATACCAGAACATTTTTATCACTCTAAATGGAAAGTCCAACCCGTTAGCTGTCATTTCCAATTCACCTTTGCCCCACTCCCTGACAACACTGATCTAGTTTCTGACTCTAATTTGTCTATTGTGGACATTTTACATAAATGGGATCATTTGTGTCTGGCTTATTTCATTTACCATAATATCTTTAAAGTTTATCCAACATCAGCCCTGGTTGGTGTGGCTCAGTGGACTAAGCGCTGGCTTGAGAACCAAAGGGTTGCTAAGTTCGATTCCCAATCGGGGGACATGTCTTGGTTGAGGGCCAGGTTCCCAGTAGTGGGTGTGTGAGAGGCAACCACACATTATTGTTCCTCTCCCTCTTTCTCTCTCCCTTCCCCTCTTTCTAAAAATAAATAAATAAAGTATTTTAAAAAGTTCATTGAATATTATAACATCTATGAGAACCCCATTCCTTTTTGTGGATAAATAGTAGTCCATTGTACCTGTATACCCCATTTTGTTTCTCCATTAATCAGTTGATAGACTTTTCTGTTATTTCTACTTTGGGCTATTATGATAATGGTGCTGTGGACATTTGTGTCCAAGTTTTTGTATGAATACATGCTTTTAGTTTTCTTGGCTCTATCCCTAGGAATAGACTTGCCGGGTCATGTGTATAACTCTATGTTACTCTATGTTTAACTTTTTGACACACTGTCACACTGTTTTCCACAGAGGCTGCACCATTTTACATTTGAATCACCAATGTATAAGCATTCCAATTTCTTCATAACCCTGCCAAAATTTATTTTCAGTGTTCTTGATTCTAGCCATCCTTGTGAAGTATGAGTCAGTAATTTCGAAGAGTGTAAAAGATTCCGAGACTAATATGATTGAGAGTTGTTTTTCTAACAAACAGCTTTAAAAACCCTTTTTAAAAAAAGACCCAAGTTCACAGATACAGAGGAGAGATTGGTGGTTGCCAGAGGTAGGGTGGAGTAGGGGGGAGTAGCCAAAATCAGTGAAGGTAGTAAAAATGTACAAATGTCCAGTTATAAAACAAGTATGTCATGGGGATATAAAGTACCACATGGTGAATATTGTTAACAACACTGTATTGTATATTTAAAGATTGCTAAAAAGTAGATCTTAAAACATCATATCACAAGAACAAAATTGTAACCGTGTGGTGGTGGATATCAACTAGACTTACTGTGGTGATTTTCACAATATATACAAATATATCATTATGTCATACACTTGAAACTATTATAATGTAAAAAGCCATAAACATAATAACATTAACAATAATTCCACAAAGTTGTGTAATACCAGGGTAATCAAGTTTACCTGGAACAGACCCAATTTATCTCTCTGTACCAGCATAACTATTCATGTCTCCTTTAACTCTCAACATGGCCTGTGTAGATGACAAATTATATAAAAGCTGTACTTATTTGAATCTGTATTCAAATTTCCCCCGTTGACTTAAATATATATATTTTACAATTTATCTATTGAAAATGAGATCCAACATTGTGCTTGAGGTGTCTTAAAATACTTTTACTCTATATCAGTTCTTCCTCTACTCCGTTTCTTTCATGATAGTTATTTATTGAAGAAACTTGGTAATTTGTGAGATTTCCCACATCCTTAGCTTGGCTGATTATACTTAGTTTTGGTATCGTTTAGTTTGTTTCTTGGCCCTCCATATTTCTTCCCCTTCGGTAATTAGATCTAGATGTTTGATTAGATTTAGGTTCAAATTTTGTGCAAGAATATTTCATAGATGGTATGCACTTCTTATTGTATTCCATCAGGACACACACGGTTGTCTCGCTTTAGTGCTGTTAAGGTATTTGATGGGTTCAGATCGTGTTAGTTCAGTCCCGCCAGCATGAAGTTTTCCATCAACATTCTATCGTAGTTTTAACAGAGCCATAGATGATTGTTGTCTCCTCTCGGTGCTTAACTAGAAATTGTGAATACTGACTTTCTAATTCTACCAGTTCTGTTGCATTTGTTACCTGGGCACCCTCTTGTGCACCCTAGAGCAGAATAAATGCTTGATTTTTCTTTCTCATTGACCAGTTTTGTAAATAAAGAGTTGGTTACTTAGCTGAATGATGAGAGATTTTTTCAAGTATTACTATGAATTCATGGATTTGTATATATTTAATATATTTCTATCCATGAGTCATCATTCTTTTTTTTAAAACTCAAATTGTTCCATCTTTGGCCAAATGGTGCCCCTTCATCTTTGATCTTGGGTTCTTCTGACATAACCTCAGTAGTATCTGATAGCTATCTTGCTTTCTGGCAACATAAAATTACATGCAATTCTTGCCCCAGTTCTGAAATCAATCATTTCCTAAAGAAGCCCTGGTTCCTCTTAGTGGTTAATGGCAGTCAGGTTATGAATTTGAACATGTAGCCCTTGGACTGTCATTGCTTTTGCCATTTCAGATTTTCTATTACAGAATTTATATCTAACTTTATTGATTTGATACTTGCATCTCTTTTTTATACTTGTATCTTTTAACCTTTTACTGAAGACCTTGGTTTCTAAGAATATTAAGATACTTATTTGCTACTTTATATACATATATGTAAAATAGACATAAAATATACAATGGCATCTAAATAACCATACCAGTATTATTACCAACAAATATTATATCTAAATGCAGTTTGGTCTCTTTGCCCTTCTTTTTTTGTCCTTAGGATGTGTCCTAATAAGGATATACAGTGAAAATAATGAGTTAAAGTCAGATTCTGACTGTTCCATGAGGTTATAGGAGTAACTCCATGTATACTTGAATGGCTTTTTTTTTCCTCTTAGAAAATGCTTTGTTACTTTCTTTTAAAATTATGGAAAACATACACATGATTCCAAAGACAAACTATAAAGCATGGTTAACAATAAATGAAGTTAACCATTTCTATTAGTTTGTAATTCACACTTCCATTGCTGCTTCTTTAAAATGTAAGCAAATGCACACATCTTTCTAAGAAGAAAGGCAACATATACATGGTCTCAGCCTTGCTTTTTTCCACTTAATATGTACTAGAGTTCCATGGACTTCCACAGAGATGGTCTTCATTCCTTTGTACAGCTGCACAGACCTGCATTGTGTGGATGCATCATGGTTTAGTCAGCCAATCCTGTTGTAAGGACATGTGGGGTTGAACGAACATTTATTGCGTGACTTACATTGTGCCAGGCACTGAGGATAAGTAAATGGTCTCAGGCCTCAGAAAACTTTGTCCGTAGCAGGGGAGACCTCTGCAACACAAGTACTTTGCTCATGAGTGAGTGAGAGCCCCCGGAACAGGGAAGGCAGGCTCCCCCGTGGGAGGGATGCAGTAACTTTTCTGTGGATTGGCATCTTGTTAGTACACGGCCCTTAGTGTGGGAGAATCCCCGTGAGAAGAAATGATTTGTAATGCTTGCAATTGCTTAGAAAATCATGAGTGCTTCCATTTGGTCAGAAAAGGCAAGGCCAAGTGAGAGAGGAAGAGGAGTCCAAACCACAAAAATCCCCCGAAAAGAGGAAAGGCAAGTTAACAATACAGAAGCTGTGGTTTAATAAGCGCTAACACTTGTATAGAATTTACCCCTGTCTAGGGAGTGCTAAGCAGTTTACATATATATTTAACTACTTTATTTCCCATAACAAGCCTAAGAAGTAGGGACTATTACTCCTCACTTTTTATAAATTAAGGCATAGAGAGGTCACACAGTGAGGGAGAAAGGGAGCAAGGAGGGAATCGCAGGTAGGACACGTGGAAGCGGCGCCCTCTCCAAGGCGGGACTGGAGTATACCCGCCACAACCACTCCCTGGAGAGGAGAACCTACTCGCGACACCTCCCTCCTTACACACACCCCCACATCCCGCCGGGCTTTCTCTGGACTTGGGGACTCGGAGGCTGGAGGAATCCCAAAGCCAGGAGGCAACCTGCGGGGTGCATGGCGTTTGCTGCGCCCGCCCAGCAGCGCGTCCAAGCGGCGGCAGCCCCCCAACCCTCACCCTCTACCCCTACCCTCTACGGCTACCAAGCCGGCTCTCCGACCCCTCCCGGTGTCCGACGCCTGTCTAGCCGTGCTCCCGCCCACGCCTTGGCTCCTTTGCCAACCCAGACTCCTCCTGTGTAGCTTCAAATAAGAAACTATATAAAATCACGGGCAAACTTCCAAGACTGTCCAGGTACTGTAACCGGCCCCTGGGTCATCTGGACACAATTTCACCCTCAGAGAACCCACAGCAGGAGGACAAGCCATGCCGACGCAGTAGGAGACCCACTCGGACAAAGGAGTCGCACGGAGCCATGGCACTCTTCCCCATTCAAAACCGCACCAAAACCTTTTTGCAGGGCAAAGCTGCTCCCCGGGTCTCCGGCGGCTGCAGGCGCCGCCTGCCGTCCAGACCCAGCACCACGCGCAGCTGCCCGCGGGCACGTGGCGCCCACCCCCGGCGGAGCTGCCCCGAAACAGGCTTCGTGGCCCAGACCACCCGGCTTAAGTCTGGGAGGACGGCGCGGGAGTCAGACGCGTTTCCACCTTGGGACAGGACCAAGGCTCTCGTCCTCCCAAAGCCAATCGGCGTTCACTTCAAAGAACTAATTGCAAAAATGGGACTAATTTTACGTAAAAACCAGCCGTCACTTGTGAAGAATTTTAGCTCACTATTAACTAAGAAAACAGGAACAATGTTCTGACAATTTTGATGATAATAAGAAAACACAAAAACTCCAGTTCCTATGAAACCGAAAGCTTATATGATATGGATCCTCTGAGTTCACGTCAGACGGGTAATGTGCCAACGTCGTAACAAGGTTTAGTGGGAGGCACAAGTCACACAAAAGCGTGAAGACCCAATCATCACACTTATGAACTACAAAAGGATCGAAAAAAGAAAATGGCTAAGGATCCTCGGATATGATCCACTTACTTCTGAGATAGGGTGACAAGTATAGTCCACATGTATCAGTATTGACACACAAAATCCTGTATGTATTTAAAGTATCACTGAGAGTTTGGGATTTTTCTCTTGTTTCTACCTAGTAAGTGGAAACAGAAACAAAATTAGCGAGCGGATTATTCTCTATGCAAATTTTTGCCATAGCTCCACCCTTTAATAAATTCTGAATCGTTATTGCTTTACGACAGTAGGTCGTGAAATGGCGAATCGTTGACGCAGTATTAGCGGAAGCTATGCTTGTGCTTTGCGGCAACGACGTTAGCTAGGTCCGTATCCTGATAGGCTCAGAGTGTGTAGGAAGCACTTAGGTAGCAGTAGTGGTTTTCGTATCATGTTTTAGGGGTCGTTCCTTAAACTTGTTTTGTTTTGTTCTGAGGCTTCAGGTAGGCAAGAATAATTTCTCTACCTCGCTGTTGGGAGTCTGAGATTGTGTTACTACTCCCAGAGAAGTCCCTTTCCCTTTCCCGCATCTTTCCTTTATGCACACCTTACTCTTAGGCTGGTTAGACTCGCCCTCCTTTCGCCTAGATGTGTCGCCGTTTCAGTTGCTTTTAGTCCTGCTCTTTGGGAGAAGTCCAGCGTCCAGTGATCTTTCCTGCCCTCGTTAGCGGATCCCCTCCCGCCGTCACTTGCAGCAGTCAGGAATGGAGCCTGACAGCTCTCCGGAGTCCCCATCGCCGGAGGGCTCTTCCTCGCCTGGAGAGTGCCCTTCTTCCGCCCTCGGACCGGCCTTCTCCCAGATTTTGCACCATCTTACCAGCCAGGGGCCCCGGCGGAGCGAGGCCAGAAATGCAGCTCTTCAAGACCTCAGTGTTCTCGTAGAAGCCACAGAGTGCGATAAGTTATTTGAGGGGAATGGCGCGTCGCTCGGTGGAACGCCCGAGATGCTGGGGAAGGTGGCGAAAGCCCTGGAGAAGTATGCAGCCCCAACCAAGGAGCAGGAACGTGGAGGGGATGGTTTCTCTGCAGTGGCAGAGAAGGCGGCGGCCGTTGGGTTACTGTTTATGAAGCTGTTGAGGAAAGTTGAGTCTGCCAAGAATTCTTTGGTTTGCTTTTCATGGAAGACAGTCCTACGACGTTTGGCTGGACCCATCTATATTTTTGCCGTCACACACAACCTGGAGCAACCATGGACCAGGCCAGCATCTCAGGACGTTGCTGGAGAGGTGCTCGTCTTGTTGCTTCAAGTTGCTGAGTGTGGTTCTGTGGCAGGATTTCTCCACGGAGAAAATGAAGACGAGAAAGGGAGGTTTACTATGATAATGGGGCTTCTCAAGCCCGATTTGAATAAGTGAGTAACCCTGCCACCGATTTGAGATCAGCCCGTTTTAGATTGCTGGAGCTCAAAGGAACCTTGGTTTCTTCATCAGTAAGATGGAAGTATTTATTATAATAGCAGATCTCTTAAGGCCAAGAAAGGTTGTGACTTGCTGTAAACGGCATAACTAGATAGTGGTAAATTTGACAGGAGCACCCAGGTCTTCAGACTCCGTTTTCTACGGCTCTTTCCAGTCGTCAGGACGACTGCCCTGGAAACTGGCAGTTCTGTCTCATTTATGTAGACTTAACTTTCTAAAGCTGGGTGGGGATGGGAGTTTGGAGAGGATTGAAACTTACGGTTTGAACTTAAACTTAGGGATGTTGAAACTCACCGCTAGTAGATAGGGATAGTTGTTAGATACGGAAGCAGTGTTTGTGATGAAAATAAAACCTTTATCTTTTTCGGGATGAAAATGAAAGCTTTAGATTGTTATTAGATGAAGTATTCTTTGTGAGTTTTCACTCGTATGTTAGTATTTGTGATGAGGGACATTTGATTCAACCAAAAGGTCTTTGAAATTTGGTCCTGTCCCAAACCTCCACGAAGACATTTGGCTCATGCCAACCCATCTACCTAATCCCATGTGTCATGACCAGTAAGACTATCCAGTCAAGAAGGGTTGTTATTGGCAATACAGTCACAATTATTGGAACAAGAAAACATGATAATATTTTATGTGTTAATCCTGTAAACCAGGAGTATAAATAAATGTTACAGGCCCTTAGAACCCAGGGACATTTCCTAAACATGGACATTGTTGACAGGACCAAATGTCAAGGACCATTTATTGGGATCAAATGTGCTTATAGATGTTTTGGACAGGACCAGATTTCAAGGACCTTTTGGCGTAGACTGATTATCTCCATGGATGTTTCTGATAGGACCAAATGCCCTGCAAAAGTACCTGTCACACTGTAGTAATATTAAAAAAAAAAAAGTGCACATAACTTATTTTACTAGCAGCTTGGAACTAAAAGGTTTAGTTTTGAGGCCGATGGTGCCTCCTTTTATTGCTTCTGAGTAAGGCCAGGTCAGATTCTCTTCAGATCCTCTCTCTGAACCTCAGTTTTATTATTTGTAATATATAGGTAATATTTAGGTAAAGATAACTTTACCTGTTGCAGTTGTTTTGAAGATTAGTTGAGTAATTTGTGTACACTAATAAGCTACGAATACTGTTCAAATATTGGTTCATTTGTTCCCTTATAATAATGATAGTGTGAAGACATTTCTATTACTCATCTCTCCCTTCTCAAAACAATGATAATAAATAGTAATAATATGAAGACATTTCTATTACCCATGTCTCCCTTCTCAGCATACCTTCACTATGACCACCTCCACCATCACCGCAGATCCTTTACATTGCTGGGGTTATGAATCACTACTTCTCATTGGATAAGCTTTACATCCAGAGCTCTGGGGGAGTATTAAATGTATTTAGTGTAACATCTGTAAGTTATTTGGATCCAAATCTTAAAATGTATGTTGTAATATCAGGAGTTACCTTATGTGGGATGTATTTTTTCCAAAGACAAGGAAATACTGTGTTTAGCTGAATTTTCCTTGCTAGTTACCACCATGTCACTTTATTTAATTTGGTTTCACATTCCTGTAGGGAATCCTGGAAGAATAACCCTGCCACCAAACATGTTTTCTCATGGACTCTGCAACAGGTCACTCGACCCTGGCTGAACCAACATCTAGAAAGGATACTTCCCCCATCATTGCTCATCTCAGATGACTATCAGACTGAGAACAAAGTCCTGGGTGTACACTGCCTCCATCACATTGTGCTTAACGTGGTAAACAACCTCTGCTCTATCATCTGTATTGATGGGGTAGACTGAGTCATATGGCTGTGTCCCATTCATGATATTCCCATTTTATTATTGCCTATGTTTAATATGTTTTATGAACTGGCTTTCTATTAATGCTGTCAGATAACTACAGTCACTTATTTATTTATATTTTTTCTCTTTATATTTATTCCATCTGCCAACCTAGTAAAAGTTATATCACATAGGTAATATATGTATAAAAAACATGGGCTATTATTATGCACATAAAACATAGGCCATTGCCAAACTGAATAGCCAGGCTTTGATTAATTAACAGTTGACTTTCAAGGAACAAAAAAATCAAACTGAGAGGGATTATACCCAAATGTGCAATCTATTACTTGAGGAAGTTTGCTTGTTTCTTAAACTGTGTATCATAGAGCTTTTAAAATATATATAGAAGTAGAGAGGGGTACAATAAATTTCATATGGCCATAACTCAATTTTTAAAATTATCCACATTGGCCACCGTTGGCTAACTTTCCTTTGATTTGGGTCATTTGTTTGATTGCAGCCTGCTGCTGATTTGCTCCAGTATAACAGGGCCCAGGTCCTGTACCACGCCCTTTACAACCATCTGTACACACCGGAGCACCAACTCATTCAGGTAATCACAAGATCTGTGGATAACTGGCAGTCTGAATTTTCAAATCTGAGAACAAGGTGGCACTACATGAATAAGAATAGTTGAGATGTTGTCTTCTTGGAGAGTGCGGATGCTAACTAGAAGCCATTGCCAAGCTGAAAATGGTGGTAAGCAATGACTAATGAAAATACCTCAATACCAAGCAAGCATCCACGTTCTTGAGGAGCCACAGAAAAGCCAGTGTTTTGCCTTCACCTGGGTCCGTTACATATCACTTGGAGGCAGCTTTATGTCAGAAAAAGTTCTATTTTTAAGTGCCCTTCCTTCTGTGCTTCTTTATTATCAACACACATTAAAACCTTGTATGTTGGATATGTTAGTGTCATTTACTCTTTCATCCAATAGACACTGAGGACCTACTGTGTGCCAGTAACCATTGTAGGTTCCAACAGTGAATGAATCATACAAGGTTTCTGGCTTTAAGAAGCCCTTTGGGAGATACTTATGTAAATATATGGATATTTATACATAGGTCTACAGTACAGAGTGATACATCTGTTAAAAGAGGTTTGTGTGAAGTGCAGTGGTTGTCCAGCAATAGGGAACTCACCAGGTTTGGTGGTGGTGGGTGGTTTTAGGGGGAATCCAGAGGAGGTGGTATTTACTTATGAAGGATAAATACAAGTTCCTTAGGAGGGGGGAACAATATTCTCAAGACACAAGAAACAAGTTATATAAAATTAGAGGTAGAAATAACCATGTTTCTTATTTTATGACTACCCACCCATAACCCCTCACCTTGCCACCTTTTTAAAAATACTGTTTTAGGCATTGAGAATCCAGGTACTAACAGAAAGGTTAGGACTCTTGAAATTGTGTTTAAGAAGAAAAAAACACTACCAAATACAAGAAAACCAGAGCCCAGGAGAGCTAGAAGGGATTGCCTAGACAAACTGAAACTTCAGACAGGGTGGTTCAATTGGATACAAATGAGGACCACCTTACATTCTCTTTAGGAGCAGTTTTAAGTACAGGTTTGGTAATGTGTAAGCACATTGCTTGGATTTAGTAATTCAGTGACAATAGACTCAGACTCTTAAAATTGGGGTTAAAGTCCCAGCTCTGTCTTTTTCCCATTTTACAGCTTAGAGCACAGTGGGGAGAAGGTATTAACTTATTTGAGACTGTCAGATGGCGATAATGTAAAAAAAAAAAAAAAGAATATAAATATGCACTTACTGTATTACTAGTATGTTGGAATTCTATGACAGGGCCCCCAAAAATAGGTGAATAAAGTTGCTAGAAACCTCAGTGAGTGCTGTGAAGGCAAACGGATGACGGTAGTTCTTTCCGTTACTTTCTCCTAGGCTGTGCTGCTCTGTCTGTTGGACTTATTTCCGGTCCTAGAGAAAGCCCTGCGCTGGAAGGGAGATGCCGCTCGACCCACCACACACTGTGATGAGGTCCTGCAGCTGATCCTGACCCACATGGAGCCAGAGCACCGCATTCTCTTACGCAGGACCTATGCAAGAAACCTTCCAGCTTTTGTGAAGAGGCGAGTGCCCGGGCTGCTGGTCTGGCCAGATTCCTTGGCTTCATCTCTACAGTATCACGGTTTCTCTTTTGTTTGTAGATTGGGGATCCTAGCTGTCCGGCACTTGAAGAGGCTGGAGCGAGTCATCCTTGGTTATCTGGAGGTTTATGATGGGCCGGAGGAGGAGGCTAGATTGAAGATGCTGGAAACCCTGAAACTTCTCGTGCAGTATACTTGGCCAAGGTATGCCAGCCAGCCAGTGTGTGGTAAGCAGGGCAAAACCAAGAGTTCTCTTCAGAACTGTCCCAGATGTACATGCAGTACAAGGTATTAAGGCCATGCCATGTATTTGAATACTTCCCATTTTACACGCCTGTTGAATTTTGAACTGAGAAAATGGCATTTGAAAGATAAAATACACCCACTGTTGTTTCAGGTGTCTGTCTCTATAGATGAATAATGAACATTAAATTTTAAAAGGCCATTTAGAAGTTCCGTATACGAGACATGCCTAAATTTGTTCCTCCCAATGTGTTTTACATCTGGTTGAGACCAGAGCACTTCATACCACATGACTGAACAGTGATCAGGAGAGTATTAATTGAGGATGTGCGTGCTTAGAAAGCATTCCAACTCTGAAGAATAGTGGACTAAAATAGAAGGAATAGGTGGATAAGTGAAACCAAATCAAGTTAATGCTGTCAGGCTTTTAGACAGCAGAGACCAGCATTCCAAGAAGGGACGGACAAGCAAATGTAGGGTTAGGTTAGATGAGTGTGCTGCCCTCTAGGGGACAGGGCCTGGGAAACAGCAGGTGATGTACTGGATGGCGACACGTGGAAGGCTAAGCAGTACCGATCACAGCAAACCGCTTAGTAATTCTCAGATCAAGGTAGGGGATGTAAGCTTTTGTTATAGTTCTGTCCAGAAGTACAGTTTACTTCACTTATTTTCACACTACAAGTTAAAATTACTTTCCAGTTTCCACGAAGGCTTTTTAGTTTTTATTGTGGTTAAAAAAGGTACTGTTTTAAAACACAGTTCAGTGGCATTAAGTACATCCCCAATTTTGTGCAACCATCACTACTACTCACTTCTAGAACTTTTTGTTTTAATCAAGAACCTTTTTAAAAACCTAGTAATAATATGGGGCGCAACTGTTGGTAAGCTGGATCTGGAATTAAATGACAGAAAATGCAAATTGACGCTTAAGTCCCAGAAGCCACATTTATTTCCCTCATGCGATTTTTGACTTCCTGGCCTGAGACTCCTTAAAAGTTAAAGGATTATGGGCCAGTTCCTATTCTCTGGCCAAAAGTGTAGGGGAAATCCCAGGTTTCCCCTTTCCGGAGCGGCTGTTTCCTTACAGAGAGGAACCAGGCTTCAGGAGGGAAACAGGTTTTCCTAGGCAGGCCAATGTGTGTTATCAGGGCAGTATGTTGAGAAAAGTAATGGGGCTTGAAGCTAAATCTGGAGTCTGGCCTCTAGTTCTGCTTCCAGCACTGTGTTCTCACATATTTGACCTCAGTTCCTTCATTTGTGAAATGAGGGCTTTACACTAGTTGATCTTTGAAGACTCCATTTTAACACCCAGAGATTTAGAATATGAACATCTTTCTTCTTGATTCCAGAGTTCCCTGTAGACTTGTGGTCCTACTGAAGGCTCTCTTGAAACTGGTATGTGATGTGGCAAGGGATCGAAGCCTTACACCTGAGCCTGTTAAGAGCGCCCTGTTAGAGGAGGCCACAGCCTGCCTGATTCTCCTGGACCACTGCTCTCTGGGACAAGTGAAGGTAAGGGACAGTCTGCAACTTGGTTTCAGTTAGGCCTCATTATCCTTGAGAGATTCAGACAATTGATTGTAATTTATTACTCACCTGCCTGTCCAAGTCTGTAAATGAAAGTGGAGGGGTGAGGTTCCACCTTGGGAACTCTCTAGCCTTCAACAGAATTTGAGCACAGGTATTCAGAACCGTACAGACCAAAAGGCAGGGTTAGAAAATATCTCTGGTGCTAGGACAAAGAATGGGCAAAAAGATCATGAGCAAGAGTTTAAGTTCTGTTCCTCTCATTCAATTTTTTTAAAAAAGGTGAAATAATGGGCTATTAGCCACCAAGAAATAAAAATATAGGTAGAGTAATTCAGATCCCAGAAATGTTTCCCATTTTTCAGGGGAAACTGCTTTTCCATATTCTCATTTATCTGCATGGGAATTCTTTGGTTTCATATTCCACAAAAGTTAATTTCTCAAAGCCATTAACATATAATAGCTATGTGCATGTTTCTATGTTTCATAAACTATTGCCTCACTTCTTACTCCATTTAGAAATCTTCAATTGCAAAGATGTAAGGCAGCCATTAAAAATTCATACCCTGAAAATATTGATAGTCTAATTTGTTGTTTTATTAGTCTGTTTGGATTAAACTTCACGTTGGCGCTTTGATCTCAGGCAAGTCTCAAAGCCTAGATCCAATCTAATTCGCCTTGGCTGGTATTAAGCTGCTTCTTCAACGTCCAGCAGGACATTGCCAAGTGTGCCAACAGTTTTTACAGTTACACTTGTTCTGTGAATTGCCCCCTTAGTGTCATCCATTTTTTCCTTTTTTGAGCATGGTACCAAGAAAAAAGAACCAAGGTGAAAGGGAAGAAAATAACAAAAATCAAAGTCTTGTCTGGTTTCATGTTTCAGGGTCTCCTGGCCAAAATTCTCCAAAGCTGTGACGACAGCAAGGTGGTGAACTGTATCAGAAAAGTGCAGCAGGTTTCTGAAGGTGCACCCCACAATGGAAGTTAAGATTTGTATTATTTTCCTAAAGAGGAGAGGACTTTCTTCCTATGTAAATGGAACTATTTAAGGAAAAAAGTATTTTTATACTGGACATTATTCTTTAGATCTTCTTTTTCCTTCTTTCCTTTTATTCCAATAGAATTATGGAAAGAACAAGAAAAACTGAAGTCTGGACATTTCTGAATTAAAGTTGGGGGCAGTCACCAAGGGTGGGCATTTAAAATTTAGAAGTATTTACAGCCACAAACTCACGTTAAGCTTCTTGGGCACAAAGTGTCCCTTCAACACATGCCAAAGCTACAAAAATACTCTGTTTACAACTTTTCATCCACTCTCTCCCAAATTTCTTGCCCCACAGAAGTGGTATAAATATAAAAAAAAACAAACATTGTGTTGAATACAACATAAAGAATAAGAGCTGGAGGTGTGTATGTGGTGAGGATAAAGTTCAAAATGTTCAGTTCTGTTATATAAATCATGAATGAATGGAAATCACGTGGCTTTGGCCTTGGCCACTGGCTCTGTCTCCTGCTCATACTCTATTTCCACATACGCTCGCTTTCTCAGCAAAGGCCCTTTCACGGGTGTTTTGCCTTTGCGTTTGGCGTCACGGGCCTTTTCTTCTTCCTCACTGGAGGACTTATCATCCTGATCTTCATCGCTGCCAGCATCCAGTTTATCCATTTCCTAGCGTGGGGAGGGAAAACATTAAGAGAAGTTGCTACATTCATTCCCCAAATTCCACTGTCATCTCTACTTAGAACAAACCAGAGAACTTGTCCGGCCCCCTGCGTTTGGAAAGCCGCCCTTTGCCCATCGGTCTCACCTCAAAATCACTTATGTCACTCTCATCCACCTCATCGTCTTCCACAAACTCTCTTTTTCCCACGTCCTAAAGTAAAACATAATTGTGAACTTCAAAATATATCATGAACATTCATCTTAGACATCCAGTTTATTCTTTGATACATACGTAAGTACTTAACACAACCAGAATGAGAATCTACTTATTAGGCAACTAAAATCTACCTGTTCCCAAGTTTAATACTTCTGAAATCAGTAGGTAAGATTTACAAACAATTCTTTATACGTTCAAGTAAAATTATTAATTTCAAATAATCAAAAAATAGTTTTAGGTAAAGTATGCCTCTGTACCTATGTGAGTATACTGTATGATTAAATACCTGCTTGCCAAATCTACCCTTTTCCTAAAAACACTTATCACTCAAGTACCTCTATGTTAACAGTAAGATTAAATCCTGGTAAATTTCTGTCAGTTCCTTAATGGTCCACTCTACCAGCTGATGAGGATTCTTCACTTGTCATCTTGCCAGAAAGAATGTCAGCGTGCTCACCAGTAAGATTAAAACTGTCAGTGCACGGACCCTGGAGAGCACCACAGCCACTGCTGAACCAGAATTAGTCTCACGACAGAAAAGTCGGATCAGTGATTACTTTTGGTTAGGGGACTGAAAAGGACATCCTGTCTCTTAATTACATTAAAATAAATCTAGTCCTATAGGTTACTGCTTGACAAAGCAAAAACACAGACAAGGCTTACTTCCTCCTCATCGTCTTCATCTTTTTCCTCCGCATCTGAAGAGTCACTCTCTGCCTCCTGCTGTTCCAGGGCCTTGTCGAAGGCATGAATGGGGAAGTTGTAGATGTCGCCATACTGAAGAACATAAACAGATTGGCTTTTACCATATTTGCATCCCACACTTGGAAGTCCACTGTCTGACAAGCATGTAATTTTTTTCTCAGTGAAATGAGAATACTCAATTTGATGAGTAATGTTTTTATACTGTCATCAAGGGTAGAGCTGGCAGTGTCTTTAAAAAGCCCATTTTAACATTAAAATAATCAAACTGGTAAATTCAATGAAGGATGGAAGCAGATCACTTAAAACAGAGTAGTCTATAAAGCCCTTGGATTAGAACAAGTGTAATTTTCCTGACAAAGGGGGAAATAATATGGAAAAAGGAATTTTTATTCATGTTTCTATGTCATTTTAAAAAGAGAATAAAAGTTAATTTTGAAGAATCTTAAAAAAGGAGAATAGGCAGGAGGATAAAAATTGTATGGCTTTTACAAAGAGATCTGGGGCTGTGAGTCTGGGAACAGGATTGGGAGAAATGGCAAAAGGGAAAGGTCTCATACTAACTGGAGTATCAAGGACAACCAAAGCATTCTATGTGCTTGCACCAATGAACTTCAGTGAAGAAGCCAGGGCATATATTATCCCAGGAATAAAATCAAGGTGAACATCTAGCATGTTGAAAAATAAAACCCATTTCCCACTATTTCCACATTTCCTAGTACCACCTAAAAAATGAAATTTCTACCCCAAGTTCTAGCTCTCTCACCGTATCTTGTTTAAGTCTCTCCAGCAATTCCTTTTCAATGGCATTGTCCAACTGAGCAGCTATTAATGCCTTTTCCTGTAAGAGAGCAAAACCCATTTACTTCATTAGTACTCATTTTTCAGCCTGTACAAGAAACTATCAAAGGCTTTATCAGAAAGATGTAATCACTTTTCCCAGTTGCTATTATGGGGCTTCTTTTTTTACACACACAAAAAAGATTTCTTTATTTTTAGAGAGAGGGGAAGGGAGGGACAAAGAGAAAGGAAGAAACACTGATTGGTTGCCTCTCGCACGCCCCCAACCAGGGATCTGGCTCACAACCCAGGCCTGTGCCCTGACCAGGAATCTAACCTGCGACCTTTTGGTTCTCAGGAGGACGCCCAACCCACTGAACCACACCAAACAGGGCATTACAGGGGCTTCTGTCTCTCCAACCAGACATACTTCTTCTTTACCTCAAATCTTCTTAGGAATCTTTCAATTAAAAAACTTTCTAGAATTTCATATATAGCCCTCTAAATTCTAACAACGCTTTTGGTAGATATACAAAGCAGGTAGGTCTACATACATTTAAGTGTCTTAGAAAATTAGCAACCTGAAGCAGACAAAGGGAACAGAGAACTTCACTCATTTACATTTTCTAAAGCCGTGTTAGATCCCATGTGATAGAAAAACAGGTTTAAAAAAATCTCTTCCTTCAATGATCTCTCATAGGAAATGATACGTGGTGCATCAACCTGTTACCACCCACAATCGAGACATAAAAATCTAACTTCAATCTACCTTTCTAGCCTAAGATTGTATATTAACTTGATAGTAAAATCACAGAGGATTTCAAAGTTTACATCCTGAAGCTATGTTAGAATGATGAACAGTGTGGTAAGTCACAGTGCAGGAAGACTGGGGCACATGGGTCAGTTAAGTCTCTTGTGATGTTCTGTATTATTCTCTAAAGAGGGTGCCTGCACCTCAAGAGTAAGCCACTAATATGAGAAAGAAAGTATTCAAAACAAGTGTTCCTTTTTATGCGTACTGACATTGGTGCCTTGACTCGGTCCATAAAGCAAAGAATTGTGTGTCAAATACAGTGAACAAGATATTCTGAGGGAAAAATACTGCACAAAGGGTTTGAAAGTGATGATCTCACTCCTTTATTCCGATTGGTTACGTGGATTTACAGACTGTTTGCAGTAAGATAAGGAGTAGTTATGAAGGTATGCTGATTACTTAATGGTTTGGTACCTAAAAAAAGTTGTAGAGCACTGGCCAGGAAACTCAATTATAGCATTGTCCTGATATACCAAAGTTGCAGGTTTGATCCCTGGTCAAGGCACAAATACGAATCAACAAATGAATGCATGAATAGGTGGAAGAACAAATCGATGTCTCTCTCTCTAAAATCAGTAAGTTAGGAAAAAAGAAGTTGTAGAACTTAAAGATGGCGGTCAGTAGTATGTAACATAGCAGGAGTTTTAAAAAGTAAATACACAAATTAAAAAAAAAAACTCATCTGTTCTTACAAGAGAAAGAGAATATGCTACCAGTGATTTTAAAAGAAAAAAAAAGTTCTGTGGATAAAACATCTTGAAAACGATTCCATTTGTATGTGTCAGTGCTGAAAACATCTTCTATAGAAATTTCAATCATAACTTTAAAAATTTAAAGATATTAATTTTCCAACCCATTTAAAAATCTTCCAAATCCACATTTTCCAGAGGGCTTTAAAATTATTTCTTAGAAATAGAAAATTTTAATTTATTCTGCAAGGTTTGCATTAACACCTGTTTTAATAATTGGTGGCAGAGAATGAAAAAAAAGAGCAAGTACTTAATGCAAACAATCCACAATGCACTTCTCTAAGTACCCCTGACATACCTATCAATTATGAGCCCTTAAAGACAATTTATACTCAGCTACGAACCAGACCAGCACAATTACTTATACCTATAAGTCAAAGTATACATGTATATAACATTTTTAAGTGATATACTGGAGAGTGTATGCTCAAAATTTTATTCATGGGGTGAGTGATCAAAAAGTTTTTAGACCAGTGATAAAATAGATTTGAGATACAGAACTCTGTGATTAATGGAAGCAAAAGCATCACAATTACTGTACTTTGCTGTGTATAATGTGCACTTTTTTGCCCAAATTTTTTAGGGAAAAGTAAGTTTGTGCATTATATACATGGGCATAATGATTACATACCATGTGTATAACCATCCCATGTAAAATGCACACAAAAACGTGGGTGCGCCTTCTACACAGCAAAATACGGCATTCAAGTTTTTCTTGACAGGATATCACAAGTGATCAGGTACATGTCTACTGCTAGAAGGGAGGTAAGCAAATCAAATACCTAAAATGAATGAATATTTGAACTTGCCAGGAAAAGCTAATTCCTGGGTCTTGAAAAGTGTAAGAAGGTTCAGCTTGAGTGAAAAACCAGCAAGGCAGAGGAGCAGGCTGCTCTCTGCAACAAAGGCTGGTGTTTCCGGACTAGATTTTCCATGAATAGCCCACCATTAACATCACTATTCAACTCCGGTCCTAAAGCTGCCTAGGTTACTTCAAAGAAATAGATAATTCCAATCAGTTCCTTAAATTCCATCTAATGTGAAGGAACAGTCTTATATTTCACTGCGTAACTACTAGTGTATTTGATTAGAATGCTCAAACCCTGCTGAGGGTAAAATATAATATGGGCAACATAACAAAATTCTGAAACATTTGACTTCAAGAATTTTAGACCAGGAGTTGTGGATCTCTAAGGTATTCTACTTGTCCTCCATTACATATATCCTCAAAGCACCCACATTGTAACCTGCCCTGAAAGTCATAATCTTAATATGGAATATCAGCGATTTTATGCAACTAATATTGTTATCCATTAGTGAACCATTATCCAGGGCCTCAAGAGTTCATAGACAATAGTGACTACATCTTTTTCGTGAGCCCTACCCTCAGTGAAAATAAAGATGCTATGAATATCAAACAGTAAGTTACCTCTCTTCTTTTTTCCCTCCGCTCCACCTTTTTACTCAAAGGAACAAGTTTCTTCCTAGGGGAAACAAAGCATGTTATCAGGAAACCCAAATACATATGCTATGTGTTTCTTTAAAAAAATGAGAAGGAAAAAAGGATTGGAATTCATTTTGTAGGGTTCAGCTCAGTTCAGCAAATTTTCTAGATAAATGTAGTGCTATAAAAAAAAAAAATCAGACATTTTTACATATACTTTATTGTGGCTGCTTTTGTTTGCTTTACGCATTCTGAGACTCCAGAGGACATTCTCTATGCTAACAATGCTTCAGTGAACTAAGAAAAGGGAATTTTCCGTAGAAGACTGACTTCTTTAGTATCCTCCACAGGTCACAATTCAATTAAGTATGGATTTCAAATTACTTTTAAAAATTAGTTTTCATTGAATTCAGAGTTAAGTCCTTCCATTCCTGGTTATTCACATTTTTTAGGTCGTTTTTAAATCCCTAATTTTAAGACTGCCTCGGGGAGCTATAAACAAAATTTTCTCAAGCTGATTTTCAGAGAGGGTGGGGACAATCAAGTTGTATTATATATACTGTTTTTAAAATCCTGCAAAATCAAAGGGCACACCTTTCATCTGAAGTAAAGTTTCTTCTTAGCACCTCACAAAAGAGTCCCCAAAGTTGAATCTGATAGAAAGCATTACTAGCGGTTTCATAATCTCTCAATTTTATAACATGATTCATAAGGAAATAGATTTAGAAAGAAAGGAAGAAAGAAAGAATCTGAATACTTACTGTCGTTTCAGTGTAAGTTTTCGGATTCTAATTAGGTACTGGGTGATCTTGGTGAATCTCTGCTTACACTTGTGTCGAATGAAACGGGGCCAGTAAATCAGATTTTCATCTATTTGCTCCAGTGCTTTCTCATAGTTTTTATGAAGACGGACCTATCAAACAGAGAAAGAAACCTTGAAGGGCGAGGGTAAATGATTAGGTCTCCACTGTTAACAATACTACGGACCTAATGAGGACGGCTTCAAAGGTTCAATCTAAATATAGTCAAGGAAGAGAGGAAAACATGGCATTTTGCTCTTGATTAATGGGTATTGTAATTTTATGTTACACGCCTTACCCGTTCCCAAAGACGCCTAGGAAAAGCTGCTCTTTCTATAACCTTCATATACAAGTAGCACTGTCCTGCAGGATAAAGTAAATATCTTTAATATTATTGGGAGGGACCTAAGAATATCCTCTGAAAAGCTGTTGAGTAGTTCTCCTGGAATCTGAAAGCGGGGGGCATTACCTTTCTCTTCTTTGATAGTAGCATACTGACTGTTTGCCAAGGGACACGATGACCGATTACACAGTCCAGTCAGACTATATTCATTTCTGCAAAAGCCCTGGGTCTTGGTTCTAGAATGAGAGGAACAGCAAGCATTTTTAAGATGGATTACCAAGAGGGCACCTAAAGGAATATTTGTCCAAGTTCCAAATCTAGACTCACCTTATTTTGAAGGAACAAAATTGCCTGTTTCCCAGCGTATCCCAGATAACCTGCAGGACAAAATATAAACCCATTTCAGTTGCTCAGACCCAACAGGTGGCACATGAGCCCAAGAGGCAATGCTTGAGGGCAGTGCCCTGCTTTACTGAGGAAAGGCGTCTCTAACAAACGAGAGGAGGAAGAAGCGCTTTGTAAAAGTCTGACTTCTTTTCTACACAAACGACAGATTTTTATAGAAAAGTAAATACAAATTAGCAATGACCATAACCCCATTCCTCAGAAATACAATTTCATTAGTATTTATAAATATTTTCAAGTTTTTCTATAAGTGTGTACATTCCAAGAACTAGTATGCCTACATGTATGTTTTCAACAAAATGAGGTCATATTATGTATTTTGTAACTTTCCCTTTCTACTTAAAATGTTCACTATCCATTGTAAAAAGATGCACAGTACTAGACTATTTGGATATATGTACCAGAATTTTATCTCACTGAGGGCAAGGGAAATCACCTATGCTATCCTCCACAAACGGCTTCTTTATTCATTCATCATTTATTGCACACTTAATTAATGTGAGGCACTGACACACAGGAGGCACTCACGCATTTGTTGAATGAAGGCAGGCAGAGTCCTTAAAGAATGTCATCTGTCTAGGTAGGCAGGGAGAAAGATACATACAAAGAGCAGTCTAAGTACAAAGAGGCCTGTAAGAGTATGAGAGCCGCTGAGTGCTTAAAGGAAAAAGCATAAACGTAAAAGAATGGAACAACATTTCTGCAATTTTACAGGATGTGTTTGGCAGGGGATGTTAGGGAACAGGTCAGAGGAAATGAAACTGGAAAAGGAGCTCAGTCTGGTTGGTGGCTTTAAATATCACCGCTAAACTGATGACTCCTAAATTGTTATTTCTTGGTCAAATTTCTCACCTGAGCACCAGACTTGTATTTACACCCAGCCGCCTCCTTGGCACCTACACTTGGCTGTCTAATAGGCATCATATACATTAACACGTCGAAATAGAGTTCTCAATTCCACGCCTCTCAAAAGAATACTGGGCTCCTTCTCCAGTCGTTCCCGCCTCCAGAATAAAACCACCACTGAACTAGTTGTTCAAATCCAAAAATCCCTGATTTGTCCTTTTTCTTTTTCATTTACCCCATCACCAAGTCGTCAATTAAAATGATAAATCATCTCAAATTTATCCATTTCCTTTCATATCCACCATGACTACCTTAGTTGAAGCTACTTTTATTATATTCTACTTTCCTTGTGTTCACTCTTGCTCTCCTTCAAAAACCTTTCACACAACTACAGACCTTCCTCACATGTAAATCACATGTCACTTCCCACTGAATCCCCTAAAACCCTGACAGGACCCCACATGACCTCGGTGTCCTTGGAATATATCCCTCCTCTCCAACCTCCAGATCTTGGTACTTTACTTTCCTACTACCTAGACTGACTGCTTTCCTTCCTCTCCTTGGGGGCAGTTCATTCTCATTCTTTTGATCTCAGCTCGATCGTCTTCCATTCAGAGAAACCTTCCCTGATCAGGTGGTCTGTCCTAATTACTCTCCATCACCTCTGATCTTTCTTTCTAATATTATTATACAGTGCAATTGCTTTTATTTGTTCACTTGTTCACTGTCTCTCCCACCAGAGTGTCCAGGAGAGCAGGTCTTTTGTCTGGCTTATTGACAACCCAATCTCTAGTAATTACTACAACGCACGCAACAGAGTAAGCACTTAAATGTTTCTCCTACAGGTTATTAAATGAATAAATCTAGGATGCTTCTAAAATTATGATCTCGGCACAAAGTGGGACAAATGTAAAGAAAAATCTAAACAGAGGAAAAGCAGACTGAAAGTTGTGTGCGTATGGATGAAAAGGAGACTTAATTTGTCGTCTAAACTTGGCCGTATCTCCCTCCAGCCCCCAACCCCACCTCCACGTCCCCAAAGACCACACGCAGAGTCCGTCACGGCTAGTCACCAGGGACTGGATAAGCCGGCCCCCTGGACCAAGGTGGCGGGTTTTAGGCCCCTTAATCCGTTGGAGGCCCAGGGTAGACACGTGAGAGCTCCAGGCAACCAAAACCGGGGTTCTGGAAGCCTTGCTTTATGAGCCACATGAGGCAAATGGGCCGCCTGAGCACGCGGCTGAGTCCCCATGAGAGCGAGACAACCTGCATAAACCCCGAGTGGCACAGCAACGGGAGACTCACATCATCGGACTGCATGGTGTCGGCATTCCAGCGTGCGAACCTAGATCCCGGAAGCAGCCATGCTTCTTCCGGCAAATCACTTCCGGAACGCTTAGTCTCACCTATCGCGAGAGCTCCGATTTTTCAGACTTGCACACAGCGCCGCCTGGCGGCCTAACTTATGCGCACGCTTTTACGTCCCCCACTACGTCAGGAGCGACAGCGGTGGCCCGCTCACAGCGTTGGTCTTGTCCCGGGCGCACCTAGAAACTGCAAACGTGGCCGACGGTCCGGTGCAACCTCGCGCAGCAGTCGGCCGTCTCTGGAACGCGGAGGCGGACAGCTCCCGGCTCTCCCTAGTCCAACGCGCAGTTTATGACCGCGCAGGCCACCGGGCCTTCTGCCGCCCGACACTGCTCTCGGCAAAGGCGCGGAGTACCCCCTTAGTGCTCACCGTCAATGTTGCGTTGTGTTTACTCCTTCGTCCAATACGTGGATTTCAACCTCGGTTCTCTTTAGAGACTCTCCCTCCCGCGCTTACCTATCCCTACCTCACCTCGCAGACACTCGTGTTTTGGGGCAGCTTTGGGTCCTGACTTTTGAAATTCATGGGTCAGATAATATTTCACATTTTTTGTTAAGGAATAACTTTACCCCCAGCTTTTTCATTTTGGCAGCGGAAAGAAAACCCTTTACGAGTTCATACTGTTTTACAAAAGAAAGGCCTTTTAATACCAAGGATAAGGAAAGCATAATCTCAGAATAAGAATGAGCCCTTACTTTGCCTACCGGATAAAATAATTAATTGTATCATAAATAATATAATTTTGCTGCATGCAGGAGAAAACTGAAGTAGAACCACCCTCTTTCAAAACGTTGTTTTAGCACTGGTTTTTGGAGACATTATCAAAACAAAGCAACTGCCATCTACTAAATACCTTTGGGCAAGTCACTTAACCTTTAATCAAACTTTTTCATTTGAATAACGGGGGTATGTGAGGACTAGAGTTATGTTAAATGCATAGTTTACATTGATTCATAACAAATCATGATTGTTCTCATTAGCCTCGGGCCCTAGACAAGGCTAGTTTTGAGACCAAGGTAAAGTCATGCATACACAAGCCTTTCCATGTCAGAAAAATCAAATTTAAAACAATGTGGAAGAAATAGAAAGCTGGACAGTCACCGCCTGAACCACACCACTTTCCCTGAATTGTTTCAAGGAGGGGAAGTGCAGCATTTTTTCAGTCTGATTGGGGGTAATAACTCTTTCCCTGCTCACCACCAACAGGTGAGTCCTGTGACTAATCCCTTTTTTTTTTTTTTTTTTTAATTTGAGGTATAACCGACACGCAACAGGGGTGTCCAACCCATGGCCCACAGGCCCCTTGCGGACCAGGATGGCTATGAATGTGGCCCAACACAAAGTCATAATTTTACTTAAAACATTAAGAAATTTTTCTGTGATTACATTTCACAATATATTTAATGTGTGGCCCAAGACAGCTCCTCTTCTTCCAGTGTGGCCCAGAGACGCCAAAAGGTTGGACATACAACTTTATATTAGTTTCAGGGGTATAGCAGGAGTCAATATTTGCATTATTACAAAAGGTTTGCCACAGTAAGTCTAGCTAACATCCATTGCCAGACATAGTTATTCATAATTTTTTTCTTATGAGAACTTTTAAGATTTACTCTCTTAGCACCTTGAAATATACAATACAATATTAACTGTAGTCACCATGCTGTACATTATATTTCCATGATTTATTTATTCTATAGCTAGAAATTTGTACCTTTTGACCTCTTCCCCCATTTTGCGCTTGCCCCATCTCTTCTCTCTTTGTTGGCTCTTTGTTCTTTGTTGTTGTTTTTTAGATTCCACAAGTAACTGAGATCATCTGGTATTTGTCTCCCTCTGTGTGACATACCGCTTAGTATAATGCCCCCGAGCTCCATCCATGTTGTCACAGATGGCAAGATGTCATTATTTTTTTATGGCTGAGTAATATTCCATTTGCTTTATTCATTCATTCAAAGAAGCTTGGAGGCCCAGAAGCATTTTTATAATTAGAACAATTTTAGTCCTTTCTAGTTAAGTGGGGAGGACTTCCACCACGTACAGTTTTAAAACCTTTGTGATCTTTCTGTAGGGAATCTCAGTTCATTCCGCTGGACAAAAACAATTTTTTTCCAGAAAAACTTCTCTTCAGCCTTAATGTTGGCCACTTTGGGTGTATCATGCTGCTAGCTATGAAAAGACATCTTTATGATTACTACTGGCTCTTTCGTATGGCTGAAAAGGTTTACTAGGTAACTTCCTAACTCTTTTAGAGGACTTACCTAAGGATCTTCCAGCCTCACCTTGAGGATCTCCTACTTGTTGGGGAGACTGGAGATAAGAACCAGTTTTATTTTCCAATCTGCTAAATTTTGATTCCTTTATATTCCCCCTAATTCCTCCCAATAAAGTGGTCTTTTCTTCCTCCTTGAACTGATTTCTTTCTCTCAATACCTTATAATATGAGCTAAAAGGTGCAAACTGACACTTTTAGCATTCTGCCTAGAAATTATTTTATCCAGATGCACAAGTTCATGTGCTATGTTTTATATCTTCCAAATTACTATAGGTGATACTTCTATGAAATGTTTCACTACTACCTAAGATGTGTCATATTTTTATCTGGTTTGCTATAGCAGCTCTCAATCTGCTTTTTCAGTCCTTGCCTACTACCTGGTTCCAAGGCCAGTGCTACATGTTGTAGATTTTTTAAATTAATTCATTTTTTCACAGAAGCAGCCCAGTTCCAATACTAATTTCCGTATCATTAGCTATTGCTGTGTAACACACCTCTCTGAAACTCAGTGGTTAAGAAAATAAGCATTTATAATTGTTCATGTCTTTACAAGTCAACTGGGGAGTTCTGCCGACCTCCGCCAGACTGGGCTGGTCAGGCCTGGGCTTGCTTGCCCGTCTGTGGTCAGCTGGGAGGGTGGCTGTCGGCTCACTTGTCTAGGGTGGCCTCACATATTTTACAATTGAGTGACTATTGGCTGGAGCAATAGGAGTGTCTCTCCGGGTGTTTTGCTCATTGTGCATCATGGGATTGGTCCATTGTTATACAGCAGGATTCCAATAAAAGCCGTGGAAGCTCGCAAGGCCTCTTGAGACCTAAGCTCAGGACTCACACCCTATCACTTCATGGTGACCAAAGCAAGTCACAAAGGCAGCCTGGATTCAGGGGTAAGGGAACAAACTCCACGTCCTAATGTGGAGCTTCAAAGACACCATTGTAAAAGGAGTAGATACAGAGGCGGATGGAAAATTAGCACCATTTCTATAATCAATGTATATAATTTGAGCAACTACTTATCATACAGTTTGGGGTTTTGTTTTTAACTAAATCCCTTTGTTGAATCATAGGTTATCAGCTGGGGGACACTTAGGAATTATCAGGTCCTATCTGATCTTGTGCATATAAGGAATTTTACAACATCCACAGTAAGTAGCCATTCTGTTCCTGATTAAAAAAAAAAATTCTAGTGTCAGAGAAACTATTATTCTTGCTTTCTGTCTTCACACGTGTAATCAGACAAATGTACATCAACACATGGAGCAATTCCTTCTCAGGGAGACCCAGAAACTGTCACAATGTCTTCCAAAGTGGTGTACATTTCACATTCCCACCAGCAGTGAATGAGAGCCTCCATCATTCCACCCTTATCAGCATTTGGGGTTGTCTTGTCACAAGTGGGCACAGGTAACCAGGTTCTTGGTGATCGCGGACAAAAAATTGAACCAAACACACAGAGTTTATAGCAGAAAGCGAGAAAAAGCAGATTTATTAAGCCACACAGAACATGGGAGCAGGCCAGCTCTGAGCAGAGTGGAGCAGAGAAGAAAAGAGAAGAGCGGAGCAGCAGCAGCAGCAGCAGCAGCAGCAGCAGGGGCAGCAGGAGCTGGGCAAAGGCTGGACTCAGGGGCTAGAGGACTTGTATTCCTTAGGGTAGGTCTCTCTTTCCTTGATTGGCTACTGGGAAAGGTCCCACAATGCTAATTCATTATAATGAAGCAGGGGTCAGGTAGCATCTTCTGTGCGGGTACATTCCTGATTCACTAGGATTCAATGCTTCTCCAGATGCAGAAACTACCAGACTTAGGACAGGGTCTCCGCCCTTTATCCATGTTCTTTATCTCCTGGGGCACCTCTGGAGTTTCCTCCTTCCTGACTATCTCCTGCCTCATTGTTACATATTTTGACCACTGTAATAGGTGTGTAGTGGCATCTCAGGGTTGTTTTATTATTTTTTTCAGGCTTGTTTTAATTGGCATCTTTTCATGAGCTTATTTGTCATCTTTATATCTTCTTTGGTGGAGTGTCCTGGTCTTTTGCTCATTTTTTAAAATTGGGTTGTTTGCTTCCTTACTGTTGAGTTTTAAGAGTTCTTTGTATGTTTTGGTTAATAGGCCTTTATCAGATGTTTCTTTTGCAAGTGTTTTGTTCCAGTATGTGGCCTTTAGTCTCATTCTCTTGACCTTTATTCCTTTAGTGTCCATGGGGTCAGTAGTGATGGCCTCTCTTTTATATCTGCTATTAGTAATTTGTGTCTTCTCACTGTTTTATGGGTTAGCCTAGCTAAGGGTTTATCAATTTTATTAATTTTTTCAAAGAATGAGCTTTTGGTTTCATTGATTTTTTATAATTCCCTGCTTTCAATTTTATTGATTTCTGCTCTAATTTTTAGTATTTCTTCTCTTCTACTTGCCTTGGGTTTAATTTTGTCCTTTTTCTCTAGTTTCCAACAGTGGAGGCTTCGAATATTGATTTTAGATCTGTCTTCTTTTCTAACATTCAGTGCTATAATTTTCCCTCTAAGTACTGTTTTACTGCATCCCCCAAGTCTTAATAGACTCTATTTTCATTTTTATTTCACCCAAAATATTTTTTGATTTCTTTTGAGAATTCCTCTCTGATTTGTTTAATCTCCAAGTATTTTGGAATATTCTAAAATATTCTCAATATTTGGGGATATTTCTGTTATTGACTTAATTAGTTTAATTCTGTTGTAGTCTGAGTGTATTTTGTATGATGTCTATTTTTTA